AATATTATCATTGCAGGATTTTCAGTAGGGAATAAATAACAGCTGGTCTAGTAAAATTAGCCAACTCTTCTGAATTTGAAGTTGCATTAATATAGAATATTACAAAAGATCTAAGCTGACAATTTGAAGTAAGTTACCTTTGTCTTTCTTCTTGTCTTCTACTTTTTCCTTTCCTTTCTTGTCAGATTTCTCTGTTTTGGCAGGTTTTGGCGTCTTGACCTTCTTTTCTTTCTTAATGTCCTTCTTTGGTAGTTCTTCTTCTTCCTCATCCTAGATAATTTTATTAGTTATTAAAAACAATTGAATTTATTATCGAGAGAACTTTTGATTGATAAAAGATGTCTTGTGATGACTGTGATGATTAACAAGGGGTACTATGATGATGATGATGATGATGATGACAATCATTTTATCATGCAGTACTTTCATTACCTCATCTTCCCTTCCAAGATCTTTACCCGCCACTGCGGCAATGCAACCTAACACAGCCTCCAAAGGGTCTTTAAGAAGCTCTCTTTCTATTGGTTCACTTATAAATGGCTTGATGGCATTCCAGTAATGGCGAGCTGCAGTGATGACTAGATCATAGTTGTTGGCCTGTTGACCAAACCTATCAAAACAAATTAGGATATTAAATATGCTTTTGAATTAATTCAAAACTGTCCAATGATTTATAAATTGTTTATCATTTATAATTTCTTTTATTCATTACCTGCAAGCATTTACAAAGCAGATMAGAGCATCTCGCCGTATCTCATTTCTTCCCTGCATGTTTTTGATCAGACTTTGGCCCATTACAACACTACCATAATGAAGCAATTCTTGCTCCACGATTAGTTTGTGTTTGAAGACACTAAAACAAAATACACATTGAATCAATAAATAACAAATAAATAAATAAAATATTTTAAATAACAATTAACTACAACAACAACAGTAACTAAGCAGGCAGAATGATGACCAACAAAATTCAAGTGTACAGTCGAAACAAGATTTGACCAGCATCAAGTTGCATTTAATAATAATTGTACACTGGCCCTAGTAAGCTGCGAGTGCAAGAATTGATGGTATCAAATATGAAGGACAAACCTGTCAGGCTTTTTAGGTTGTTTCTTGGTAAGGCCTTGATCACTMTCAGCAAACTGCATAGCTTTGCCTCCACACTGCATKACAAGCTGRTGRTTCTCTTGATTGAAAGCCAACACAGCAAGTCTACTCCAAACCTCCAGCTCTACAAGACAATCACTCCAAATACTCTGCTCAACCATCCTAACAACCTACAAATATTGACAAAATGATAAAATATGATAATTATAGTCATGGCCATGTAATCTTGAAGTCGATAACGTTTTAGCTGATTAAAAGTGCATTAAATCAACTTGCATTCAAAAACCTTTATGTTTGAGATAATGTTTCATTTGATATATTTTCATATTGAAAATTGCTTTCTGGTATGTTCAAAATCAAAGATGACAATTTTAGTATGTGAGAACATTTTCCTTATAATATAAGATTTTCAGATGCACTTGAATGTGTCTTTTAGCTTTTTTCTGGCTACAGTATTGGAATTTGATAGCAATACAGTACACAAAATCACTGTATGAGATTTAATTCAATACTCAATCATTTCTCATCATCATTTTTTATAAATTATGTTACCTCAGGTAAAGTTGGACATTGTGGAATCTCCGGCAAACCATTGCCTTGTAAAGATATCATCTCAACAGCACACAGTGCCTTTGACATTGGTCCCTGACTGTGGGGGTTCTATTTGGCAAATAAATGTTTAAAATTAAGTAGAATACAGTACAACAAAATGTAATTGGGTTGTGTACCACAGAGAAGTTGAGTGTTTGACATGATTTTTTAATTCTACCCTGAATCATTGGCAATAGTGCAATATACCTCGTCATCATGACCAAAGTTCTTTGGAACTGGTTGGTTGAGTAATTGTTTGCAAAACACCCAGTTCTTGATTAAGGGATGCTTGACACTGATGGGAACAAGGTTTTTAGGTTCGTTGCCATTGGTAACATTCATAATAAACTCCAACAACTAAAAGACAAGCAATTTATAAATTATTATTAATTGGACCACAAGTATTGTAAATTTATAAATTGAAAGGAAAAAGGAAAAAGGGAAGGGGTAAAAAATGGGAGGATGCAAGAGAGGCAGAATGAGAAATGAAAAAGGAAGAAGTAAAAAAAGGAAAAGACAGCATGGAATGATTGGAAGAAAGTGAGAAATGAAAGAAAGCAAGGGAGAACAAAGGATAAAGGAAAGGGGTGAGAGAGTGACAAAAAAGAAAGAAGGGAGGAAGGAATGAGTAAAACACATTTTAAAATATCCTTACATCTAGAGCTTTCTTAAGGTCTCCAGTACCCTCAGGATCCACAGTAACTGCCTGAGCATTCATCTTAGACTGTCCRGCTCCTTTTGCTCCTTTACCACTTTGCCTTCCTTTAGCACCTTTGTCAGTTTTTTCTGCCTTGTCCTTTGTTACTGCTGACGGTGGGTTAGCCACGGTTAAGTTTGGAATCCATGGCTGCATTAATCCTTGKGCTATTGCATTACATAGCTGACACATCAAAACTGTCTCTCTGTGGGAAAATAAAGACAAAATGATAAATTAATGTATGGAAATTGTCTAGATGGAAGTGAAATAATGATTTTAAAAATGAATAAATGATTAGTAGTTGTTTGGAAAAACATGATTGTGATAATAAAAGTAAAGGAAACGAAACGTATAAGTAGATGATTTTAATTCACGACGTTTCTGGGTCATCATGACTCCATTTTAATGAATAAATGATTGAATGAATAAATATATGACTAAATGTGAATAAATAAGTCAAGTATTTGTAAATGGATGAACAAATGGAAGGCTAACAAATGAACAAATGAGCGAATGGGAAACATGRACAAATAAATGAATAAATGAATGAAAATTTGGATAATGAAAAGGCTGATCTACATGTACTAGACTAGAAGGAACTCATAATGAAGTTACAGTGTTCCCTTACCCAGCATGRCCAGTTGTTTTCATAGCTGCTAATACAGGTTCATAGATAGCGACAATCTCTTTGAATCTTCCCTGGGCTAGGATATGGTTTGTGTAATTCCACAGATAAACAGCTGAGTTRCAGATTAACCATGGTTCYTTCAGTTCTTCACCAAGTTCAGCAGCTCGCTGGAATGAGTAGATAGCYTCTTTGGATAACGAAGTGATCCAGTCCCTTAAAACACACATTACAATAATTAACCTTTCTAAATAAGTTTGTTGTCTGAATAGATGTAAAAGAGGATTGGGAATAGAACAAAACAAGGGAAGGGAAGATGAGATGAGAAAAGACAGTTTTCGAGAACTAATAACCCAATTGCCCTCAATAAAAATAATATTATATACAAATAATAATGTAAAAATATAGACAGGCACCTTGGGATGATTGGAAAAAGAAGATGGGATAGATATGGCAGGATGAAAAGAGAAAAGAAGGGTAAACACAGACGGAGTGAATAGAGGAGGAGGKGGGCAGGCAGGCAAAGATGCTAAAAAGAGGTGGATGGGAGAAAGAAAAGAAGTATTAAGAAGAAATAAAGTGGGGAGAGAAGATAGAAGTGTAGAAGATGTGGAAGAAAGAGAAATAAAAAATGAATGGGAAGGAACATCCACTCAACATACTATTTATATTATATTTTTATAATAATATATTAAAAGGAAAGCTCACCTGTAAGTCACCCACTCTGGTTGCTCTTCAACATTTACTTGCTGTTCTTCATATCGTTTTGGTCTTAGTTTAATAGTATCCTCAGGGGGTACTGGACAGTCACCCAGTTGTATCCCTTCAATTCTTAGTAAATGGACTAAAGCCTAGTATAAAATATCCAAGAAGCGATTGTTATTTTATTGAACAAACACTATACTGTAGCTTAAAGATCAAGGCTGCATTTAAGACCTCATTTTTTTCTGAATAAACGTCAAAAAAGTATTACCTCAGCATAGATAAAGTGAACTTCAGCAAGTGTCCTAAGAAGATCTTGTTCCTTCTTGAAGGGTGTCATCCCTTGTGGCTGTAGTACTTTCATTCCAGTAGGGTCTAGTTTGCTTGGTTCTGTGGTTRGACCACCACGYTTTTCCTGGRAAGCTTCCTTAGYACCWGTGGWTTGGACTTGRTTATCACCCTCATCCTGGTCACCATCTATTGGGATGCTGCGACCACTTGCCCCTCTTTTGGACCAACGMCCATTGTCATATAATAGRCAAAATCGAGCAGCTACCCTRGTTACATCCCAAACTTCTTGCTTCCTGGCAGTTTTAGCTAAGTCAGCCCAAATACGAACTCTGGTGGACGAATATATAAACATATCAACCATTCAAAATTAGTACACAGTATGTCAATCAACCTTCATATTGCACATATTAATCAATTATTACTAAATGATTATTCAGCTTATTACACAATCAATCTAACTGTCAATCGATCAATCACTCAGTCAATCATCAATATACTGTATGTAATATATGTAAGAAATTATATGTAAGTAAACCAATCAAATGTAGCTTTTAAATCAATCAATCAATCGACAAGCAAGCAATCAATCAATTGTGAATTAACCAATCAATCAATCAGTAGATAATCAGTTAACCAATTAATCAGTCTTTCTGTCATTCTTATTGGAGGCTACTTTCTTTTCCCCTTTCATTATATAAACTCACACTTATCATAGTCTCATCTCTTTACTCCAACATCAGTAAATTGTTTCACCTATTTATTACGGTGTTAAATTTATCTTTTTTAAACAACAGTTTCTTTAGAAACACCAACGCAGCTCACACTAGTTTACCGCTAGTTCCCACCATTCTGTCGTTCAGTCATGACCTAGATCAAAGTACTGTACCTTTCTTGGTCATTCTCATTGCCCAGTCTCTTCAAGTGACCACTTGCTTTGCTAACAGCCTTTTGAAATTGCTTTGCTCTACCAGCAAGCTTATTTAACAAAGTAGGTGGACCTTTATTGGCCGACGGGTCCTTAGTGTCACTCTCACTGTCAAGTACTTGCACAAAAGCATCAGGTGACAGAGCTTCTCCTGCTTTGACTAATGATGCCCTTTTCATACGGACTGTACTTGAATCATTACTGGAATGAGCCTAACCAAATAAGGAGTACATTAGTATGGGAATGGGATGAATGAATAGATGACTGAACGAATGAAAGAATGGGAGGACAAAGTGTGGATGAATGAGTGCAAGGGTGAATGGATGAGTACGCAAATAATGAATGGGTAAATAAATGAATAAATGAATGACATGATAATGGATTAAGAAAAGAATGAACACTATGTGAATGGATGAAAGAACAAATGAATGAATGAACAGATAGATAAACGAAATAATCATGAAAGCAATGACTGTTTCATTAGGAACCTGTTCTATAATCATTGCCGCTAAGTCTTCAGGTCTTTCCGGTGTCTGGTACAGTGTAGCCCTCAGTTTCAGCCTTGTCAGTGCAGTAGTAAGCCTGTCACGATACTGACCAGAGTCATCCATGTCCAAAGCCTTCTGCAGGTGAGTCAGGGCATATTCCAGTTGGTCTTCATCCTCTTCACACTTAGCTAGTTCCATATGAACTTGACAACGCAGTAAAACAAGTAAACTAGACAAACAAGAAAGTTCTTTTAGTATTTAAATAGCAGAAAATTAAGGAATATTTGAAAATAGTTGAATTGGTTTACCTGTCAATGTCCTCCAGTGACTGAGCAACTAAAGTRAGGGGTTTRCGTACATGGTGTCTAAGGTTGGGTTGAAGCAAAGGCAGAGAAAGATTCCACAGTGTAACACAGCCAGCCTTGTAAAATACATCAATATGTTATAGCAACATTTTTGGAAAATATGATGATGATAATGACACTGACTTATGATGATAAAGATGATAATAATAAATATTAAAACTAATGATGTTGGTGATGGGAATGATACACTATGAATATCTTTTACCTGGATAACATTTGGATTCCCAAGTCTTGTGGCTGTAATCAGATATTGTTCCAGCTTTCTAATTGCTTGTATTCGAGTCTTAAAAAGCAAATATTGAAAACATCAAAAAAATATTTGCAAGCCAACACACAAGACACATACAATATTACTACAACAAGAATATGAGGACAATTATAACAAGGGCTTTAGGGATACGGTTGAATGTAGACAAAGATTTGATGCAATACATTGTCAAAGTACAATCCTGACAAATAAAATGAAAATGCATTATTTAGTTCAATACAATGCAATATTCAATGCAATATATTTGCAGTGGTTACAATGATAAGCAAAAATGCCCTTTCTGGTAACATTACCTCTACCACATTCTTACTGTACAATTCTTTCTTGTCTCCAAGTGACTTGACCATCAAGTCAAACTTCATGAACTCAATTTCAAAGGAGGAACTAGGATCCTTAAAAACATGCCATAACGAAGATTAGGTTTTACAGTTAACTAGTTAACTAAGCATTATTTCTGTTAAGGTATACCACACCTTTGAACAGCCTGGACCTCTTAAGATTTCCAGACAATCTGCAGCCAATTCATGAATGTCATTTTCCAGGCAAAGTCTTGCCAGGTCAATCAGAAGAGGAACCCTTTAAAGAAATGATGCAAAATCAATTAATCTACAGGTTGAATCTACAGGTTGAATCTACAGGTTGAAGCCTATTGTAAGCGCCACAGATGGCAGCACTCCAATCGCTCTTCAAATTTTTATATTTTTAGTAAGCTCTAAGCTTTATAAATCTTAGCTTTTGATTTTTTATTCATCCTGGAAACTCAAGAAATTGTTCAATCAATCAATCAATCAATCAATCAATCAAACAAACAGTTAATCAATCAATCAATCAGTCAGTCAATCATTCACTCAATCAATCAATCAACTTATTAATGAATTATTCAAGCAACCAATTAGCAATCAGTTAGTCAATCAATCAACCTATAAATCAATCAATCAATACAGTTATTGATGACAAACACATACTAGTACAGGTACACATAGCAAGTCAATTCATAAGTCAATTGATACACATTCGATCCACTCCTCAATACATATTCGATCCACCCAAATACAAATTCAACATACTTGTCAGGAATTCCAGCCATTGTTGAACCCATCAATCCAGGTGTTGTAACAGCAGTGACATTGGACATTTCTGTGCTTGATCTATCATTCTCAGTAGATCCTTTTACAATGAGTTTATATATCTTGCCAAGTTCTTGTGGGATATCAACCTTTTCACCAGCATCAATTAGGCTAAAGAGAATTATAAAACATTACTTTACAAATTGATCTTCAGTTAAGGAGAATCAAATGATGATTCCTTACGCTCTGACACGTTGCAACTTATAGAATGAATGCAGCTCTGTTGATGCTTTGATTTCTCTAGAGACTTTTGAGATATCAATCAATCTATGTCGAACCTGAATCAAAACAATTAACATCAATAAATAAATAAA